CTTCATCTTCATCTTCATCTTCATCTTCATCTTCATCTTCATCTTCACCTTCATCTTCATTTTCATCTTCAGCTTCATCTTCATCTTCATCTTCATCTTCATCTTCAACTTCATCTTCATCTTCATCTTCTTCATCTTCATCTTCATCTTCATCTTCATTTTCATCTCCGTCTTCATCTTCTCCTCAATCTCCACGATAACTCAAGGAAAGGTTGCGACATCTCAACGAAATTTTGTCTAAAGGCTGCCCTTCACCCATTGGTTTGCATTGGTGTTGAAAATGGGCGGAATCGGACGCTAATGAAAGTGTACACCTTTTTTTAAATAGAATAATCACAATTATTTTCATGAAAAAATTTTCATTTGTCGCCTAGTGTAAGTTTAACTTTGTAAGCGCCTAATCGATTTCTACCAAACTCGGTTCAATTATTTCATTAAGTCTGATTGAGCATATTTCGAAAATGTTTGAGATCGGAGAAAAATTCACTTTCTTATCACGCAGCTTACTGAAAGCTGAAAACCCGATATTGAATACGTACGCCGGGTATATGTTTAAAGTTCGGAAAATTACCCATTTTAAGACGCTAGACTATGTAATTATTATATCATTTGCTATCCAAAGTATTGGCGAAGAACAAATTACAATAACTACGAGTATGTGTGGGTAAATTCCCAAAGGCATTGGAAAAAATTTACAGCAAGTTTCACATGGCGAATAGCAGGAAATCAGAAAAATAATCGGCATTAATTGCAGGTAAAATTGATTTGACCATCTTATAAGACAATGCAATATTTACTTAAGAATTTTTGAGCTTTTAAAAGTTTTTTTTTATTTTGTATCTAATATGATGTAAGTATGTATGAACATTAGGGTGCATTCATTTGATTCCGTTGAAAACATTTTCAAATAGTTTTATGCAAACCTTTTAAGCTGCAACTTTTTTATCGTCTGAGTTGATTTTTGAAAAAAAAATTTTTTTTTTAACAAATTTATTTACAAAAAAACTAGTTTTTTTGGAGGTCCTTTCAATCAGTCCAGCTCACGTAAATATTAGTATAGCAAATTCTATAATTTTGGTGTAAAATCTGCGACTTATTTTCGTGAGGCAACCTAATGTACATGGATATGCACATACATAGATAATACCTGTAAGCAATTGCACGGATAAATT